AGCCACATATAGGAGAAGGTCATAAAAAAATCCAGTTATAGTAATATTCGAGTTATCGTACTTCGAGTTATAGCGAATTGACTGTATATTAGTTCCTTCACCCTAGTGGAGAAAACAGTCCTTTAAAGTTTATTCAACAACTTATGATAAATTTTTTAAATGAAATTTAAAAAAAAATTTTTTTTTTATTTATTTTTTATCTATAAGATGACTGCAAAGATTTTAGAGTGCTATATGGGTTCTTTTCTCAGTTCTTGCATCCTTAAGCAATTGTTGCATCCTTAAACAATATTTCTCATTCAAATATTTGTTTCTATTATTTAATAGTAGTTTACTTACAACTTTACTTACAAAGAATGAAAAAATATGCTTCAGACACATTTTGTATTTGAATTTCATTTTTTAAGGCAAAATGTCATTACTGTCATGAGACCCCAACACACATTTCTGAATTTTTTAAGTAATTTTCTATGTTATGAAAGTGTATTAGAAGTAAATTCATACATATTCTAATCTAGTATGACTGTCTATATGAATATTTATAATCAATATTGTTAGAATAATTTGTATGTTTTGTTCTACAGATCAGTTTGTATGTGTCCTCCATTTTGGTATAATTACTGTCACAAGTACAAAAAATACCAATAAAACACTTTAAATGGCTCTTGTTGAATAAAATATAACTTCCAGGTTACAAAGAACACTCTTCTCTACAGAACAGTAAAGTTTAATTGCAGTATCATTTCTTTTACGATTAATAAATTTAATTTTATCTCAAAAAATCTGTAGTTAATTTTATTGAATGTAATTACTGTGTTCCTATTTTTTATCAAATAAATTTCAAGCAAGTAAAATATTTTTGATTTTTTTTTCAAAATGCTTTAACTTTTATAAAATATGGATATCTTAAATAAAGAAATGAAATAATGTTTCATTTATCTGGGTAATACTATTGTTTTGTAGTTACTGTCCTTATTTGAAATGCTCTTAAAGGGTAGAGTAATTACCAGAAAGTCTATAATTATTTTACTATTTGAAAAACTTTTAGTCTACTTGATTCATGTGGTTATATTATAACATATGTAGTTTCTTTTTTGTAAAAATTCAAACAATAATAAAATTACATTATTATCTGACAATGTAACTATTGTTATCTAACATAAGAATACTAAATTTTAAAAATTGAGAAAATTTATGACTATTATTAAATTTTTTGAGAAAAAATTAAAATATTTAGATAGTTGTAAATGCTTTCAGTTTATCCTAACTATTGTTTGATTTTAAGATAAAATTACTAACTTTGTTAAGTAAAATTGATTGACTGAAATTTTTTTTTATTTTTCAAATTTTAACTGTATTTTATTTTGTTTTTTTAAAACTAATTAGAAGTTTATTTGTCATTTTTGTGTTCCCTTTTGTGTTCAAAAAATAGTGCGACGTAAAGTAACAACAACAACAATCACTCTTAAGAATTGAATTATTTAGAATATTTGCTCAATTGCTTTAAGTTATACTTTTAACTACATTAATTTCTGAATTTTATAATTTAGATTTTTCTATCAGTTTTTATTTAAAAAAATTTCAGTATAAATAAGACTTTGGTTATTTAAAATATAGAAACAATTTTTATTTTTTATAGAATTTGTTAGTTTCAGTTTTAATTTTAAATAAATTGTTTAAATATAGGTGATAAAAAGATCAAGAATAAAACTTCTACCCGCATAAAAGGTTTATTGATATTTTACTGGGCTATTTGAATGAAAAGTTTTATTGGCTGCAGACATAAGGTTTACAAAAAATGAAATTATGTATTGGTTAAAAAATGCCACCAAAACTAATTTCTAAACAGTAAACAATGAAGATGAAATATATAAATTATATTTTAAAATTTAAAACAAGCAATATCTATGTCATATTATTAACAAATAGAATACAGAGCAATTATTATAGAATAGTAATAATGGTTATACTAAATTTATAAAGCAATGATTAAGAAAAAAATATATCTTAAAATTTAAAAAAAAAAGTCTTTTTCCCGTTAATTTTATTGTAATTACTACTCCTATGCGGAAAAACGCATTTTAAAATAAGAATTCTGGTTTTAAATTAGTATGTCTTAAATGTGGTCTTGCCTAAGCTAATATAAAAATATTAGTGATGGATGTTTTTGCAATGGAAAAGCACTATCAACCAGGCTATCCTGAATATATTCTTCACGTTTTATAATTATTTAAGTGGGGAGGCAGTAATTAAATTTTTTCTTGCAAATTTAAATCTGTCACTAAATTTTTATTTTTTAAGTTTTTTCATTGCTGGTTATTGATTTGTATTCTTAAATGTATGGTCTTAATGTAAAAATTATCAACATTAATTTAATTATCAGATGAATTTTTCCTAATTGTCTTAAGGAAAAAGTTAAAATTTTGAGAAAATCACCCGCATCTTTTTTATATCTTATAGTGAGGAAGCAACAGATTTAGGATTTTCTGTAGTAATTGACATGAGAGGTACGACATGGAATACTGTGAAACCAATTTTAAAAGTCTTGCAGGTAAATGATTATATTTTGCTACTTATTTTATCAAATTTCTTCATTTATCACTGAAATGTTTTGTTTTTAATTTACTTTTTATCAATGTATTCAATGATTTTAGAAATCCAAATATTTTTTATAGGTCTAAAATTTTCCACCTAGTTTTTTTCTTTAAAAATGATTTTGTGTAACATATATTTTGAGATAATAAGCAGTTTTTGATAATAATAAAGTTGTTTATAAGAACTTCAACTTTTTTATGATTACTTATGCTTTTTCTTTACTTAAAAAAGATTATGTTTTTTAGGAAACTTTTCCGATCAAAATTCATACTGCCTACATCATAAAGCCAGAAAACTTCTGGCAAAAGCAACGCACAAGCCTTGGAAGTGCTAAGTATAAATTTGAGGTAATTATATTTTAATGGTGCTTTAAAATGTTTAAGTTTCTAACTTTTCTGTTAAAACATTTTTAACATGTTAAATATGTTTTGTATTTTCTTAGTTCAAAATTATAATATTTTTTGATGTAAAAATGATATAAAATAATTATTGTTATAAATATTATGTAAAATTATATGTAATTAATATATTTTGATGACATAGAAATACTTAAAGAAAACATTTTATATTTCTGGTCAGTTTCAATTGTATTTAAATTTTTCAAAGGAATTTTCAATAAAATTGTATCATGTCTTTCCAAAATTCGCAAACAGTAGGAAATGTGCTTGAGTATTTAGACAAAATTTAAATAATTTACTTTTAAGCAGATATAGGAAAGTTAGTCTTAAAATAAATAAAATTTTTTTTTTTTTAATTTTATGAAATTATAAAAAGAATAGTTTACTTGAATCTGAGTTTTATTAAATCATATTATTTTCAGAATTTTAACCTAACTTGAAACAGAAATATTTCAATATAACTATGGAACAATACTTTTCATTTAAAAATTTTCTTCTTCTTTTACTCTCAGTAAGTTTTCTCGCAGTTTAATCAACAGATATTTATTTGATGTATTATTTATTTTTCCAAATATATTATTTATAATAAGGGTCATTTTCTACAAATAGGCTATTTTCTGATTTGACAAAAAAAAAAAAAAAAAAAAANAAAAAAAAAAAAAAAAAAAAAAAAAAAAAAAAAAAAAAAACTGTGTTGTAAGTTTCTAATTTTTTATTATAAAATGCCGGATTAAGTACTAGACGAGAAAAACACAGCAGTCATGCTTAACATTTAAAGAAATACTCAAATTATTATGAGTTTTAATTGAAGGGAGGGAATGATGACATGGTACGGAAATAGTAATTTTTAATTATAAACATTTTTAAAATAATAACTGTCATTAATATGTTTAAGAATACGTCAGTCCTTATCTGTTTTTTAAAAAAAATGCAAACTGAAGCAATATATTTTTAAATAGTCATTAAAAACATTAGATCAATTTACAAAAATGTCATTTTCCTGTCATGGGAGAATGATAATTGCTAGGAAATGGGAAAATAAGCATTAAACATTATCAGACCCACATGCATAGTGTTTAAGTTTAATTTATGCATTCTGTGGGACACACATGCTTAGCTTTAAATTTAATTTACTCATCCTTTGAGATGCTTAAACTATCACATAAGAGAAAATTAGAACCCTCAATACATTTTGAGAAAATAAATTAACTTCATAAATAACTAGAGTGAATACTCTCACAGTGATAAGTGAGGGAATAACAAAATAAGCATTATTTTCTTTTGAAGTTTATTCACATTAACAAAATTAAACTTGCACTGTTTCAATTCAAATAATAATGTCGTCAATCTGAAACTTTCTGAATTGCTCTGAGTGGAGAAATGACATGAATCATGAGTTTCAGACTTTTTTGTTCAATATAAAATCAATTTGAGGACCAAAAAAATTAACTTAATACCTAAAAAAAACACTAGTGTTTAATTTTAAAAGATAAAGTTGAACACGAAAAGTATAGGTATTTCAATTAGAAATAATGTCTTTTGTATTTTTTGTTGTTAAGATTTACCAGTGAAGGAATAAGATTTCAAAGAGCATCTTTTTAACTTATTTGTAGAAAATTTTCCATAATATATAGATATATATTGTATAATTATTGTATCTTTGTATTTTACATATGTTTTTTTTTATTTTATTCTAATAGACTAGCATGATATCTGTAGAAACTTTATCAAAGTATATTGATCCCTCTCAGTTGACCAGTGATTTAGAAGGAACTCTCCCATATGACCATAATCTCTGGATCGAAATCAGACTGGTAAGAATACTTTAATTTTATTCTTCTATTTTTATGTTTTTTCATATTTGTACTTAGCCATTTCATTTTGTGCATAGCTTGTCTAATATTAATGAAAACTGATTTTATCTGCACATTATTTATTGATCTAGATATAAAGTTTGGGTCATTTTTATCCCCTTCCCCCCCACCGAAACAAAAAAGAAAAATAAATTTGCGCATCTAAACCTGTATTATTGAAGTTACCACTTATTTTTATAAAAAAAACCCCTATAAATAGCACATTAAAGTGGAATTTGAATGAGTTTCTTTCTGCCACAGCTCAAACTCAATTGGTAGATCAGCCTTGTATTTGAAGGTTATATTCTGAAATAAAGAGGAATCATAAAATATTCAAAGATAACAATTTTCAGAAAAACAAATTTTTTATTTCTCTCCTTTTTTTTTTATCTTTAAAAAAATATTTTCTTTAACGCCAAGAATTTTCAATTAAAAAATTAGTAAAAGGTTATAAAGGCCTAAAATAAAATTTAGTGTACACATACAATTTAGTGCTGTAACTTTTAATCTTACAACCATTTTTTTTTAAAATTTCAAAATAATTAATTTTAAAGGTTTTATAACTAAGCATTGTATAGCTTTTTTTCTTGGGCATGAAGCTATTGAAGTTAGTGAATTCATCCAGGAGTTATTAAAAATAAATAGGAGCACTTGATTATCAACGTACTTTGAGATAAATATTATGAACAAAAAAAATCTAGATTTCTTCCAGAATATTTTTTCGAAAGGGAGAGGTAATAATTTACCTTGGAGAATAGTTTTTATTCATTAATACTTCAATGCTCTAGTTTTTAACTTTGAAGTAAAAAAGTATCCCTGTGGCAGAATTTTTTCGGGCTTTCTTCGACATACCCCTCTAATGCTATTTACCTTTCTGCAAGATGCTAAAAAATAAAAAATATACATGTTAGTAATTTAAAGTAACAGAAGCGTTAACTTAAAAAATAAATAGATAAATAATCAAAAATAAATAAAAAAATTGGATCAAATAAAATAATATCTTTTTTAATTTCTAAATTTTTTAAATTCTAATATTATGAGCTATATTTTCATATTTTGTAGGAAGATAACGCACTAATTATTTCCTTTTTCGCATTTTGTAATTCATCATCATATTAAAATATATTTTTTTAAAATAGTGAAATCTATTGCTGTAACTACCGAAAAAAAGATCCTTTTCGAAATCACGCGTATTGGACTCTTCAAAAAAGGATTACTAAATGCGTGTTTTCATTTCGAGATTCAGTTGTAATAAATTATATCTTACTAAAAATATCGGATTTTAAAAGTTATGTGGAAATCAGTAGTAATAACTGCATGAAAAAATAGAACAAATATTTCTACAAAAAAGAAAACCAAGTTTTTTACTTCATTATTCTTTATTTTTCATTATTCTCAAATAAGAATAGAAAAATCACAAGCATATTTTTTCCCACTCCAATGCACGAGAAAGGCAACTTTTAATATAATTCTGAAGAAAAGATTAATATTTTCAAAAATTTCTGCAGAAAGGAAAAGCAAAAGTTTTTTTTTTCCAAAGGAAAAATCTTTCTGCAAGAACTCTGTAACGTTTTGCAAAAATATCGTCGTGTCGCCACAATTCTGTCACGGGGAGTAGTATTAATACTTAAAATTTTAGTGAATCTTATGATGAAAATCTCTGATTTCAATAATAGCTACATATTAATTAAATGCTAAACATTTTATCATTTACTCTTAGAACTAATTGGTTTTTAAATTTATTTTTAGGACTGTTTTTTTTAAAAAATACATCACAAGGTACTTTAAGTCTGTGCTATTACCTGAGCTTAATGTTTACAAATGTTTCACATAGATCAGTGATGGACAACCTTTTAAACTGAGCGTGTTTAAATTTTGAAAAATCTTAATTTATTACTGAAATGAATAAAAATGACAACTAGTGCTGTGTCCCATACATAAATATTTATAATATTTTTGATATTTTCAAGTAATAAAAAAATTATTTTTGGCATTTATGTAAGTGCCATTTAATTAAAAAAAAAAGTCAACCAAAAAATATGTGCAAAATGGGATCAAATGGAAAACCCATGTACGTGTAGAAAAGTAATATTTATGATAATAATAATTTTTTCTTAGATTGGACTTCGCAAAAAGAAAAAGAAATATTTGCACAATTTTTTTTTATGTGGATTATACATTTATCGTGGCTCTTTAATTCATTGCAACTGAAGTTGTTCTAAATCAGTTATCTTTTTAATTGATTTTTTTCATGTTTGATTCTAAAACTATTTTTTGCGAACTCAAAATGATGCAATATTTTGCCTCAACCAATGCATATCATCTCTAATATGTATTATATTCTTGCCATCACTGCGATCAATATTTTTTATAGTTTTTTATCTAATGTGTTTGACTTTTCTCCTTTTTTTTCTCCTTACAGTCTGTTGAAAGTTTCACATGGAAAGGTAGTGATTTACTATCGAGAATGGAAGCTGTAAAAGAAGAATTAACAAGGAATGAATTTGCTGATGATGTGTCTTCTTCAAAAGCCATGATAGATAGTCATGCTACCTTGAAAAAGAAAATAATGCAAGTTCCTGTGGAAGATATTGATATGGAAGGACAACAAGTTCTACATAAGTAAATGTTCATGTTTTTAGATGCTTTTTGTATTTCCTAAAAAATTTTTAAAATGTATGTGAAAAATTTTGATTATTAAAATATTACTACTGAATTTTCAGAATATATTAAAACATAATACTATCTACAGTATATTTATGTATGTTCTAAGTAACAATCTTTTGACCTCAGAGCAATTAACTTCTTACCAAATTTTTTGTTATTGGCTGTTACTTTCATACTGATATTTTGTCCTCTTCCATGCTCAAAAATATTTTTTAGGGACGTTAAAGTTTTACGAGCATCTCAGGATACCCCATTCAATTAAAGTCTGTTGAATAAGGTAGTCATTCTTGTACCATAAGAAGAAGTCAAGAAAAACTTGCTTTGCACCATTCTTGTGTGGGTATTATTTTTATTTACTGGAGTATGACTTTGCTGGATATTCCATTTGAGGTTTCCAAAGAACTTTTTGTCACCAAGCATTACATCTAATATGAGTTAGTGATACGTAGTGCCAAAAATATTTGTTTTCAAACATTTTTGTTGTGACTTCTTGCCACCTTGTATGTGAAAATAAAATAACTATTTCTTTTAAGGCTAAGTTTTGCCACTGGTGGTAGTAGTGGAGGCTCCTGTGACTCTGGGTATTCTAGTAGAGACAGTGGACCTGCGGGTATGGCTGGAAATGTTGATTTTCAGAATTCTGTTCCTCAAATTGTCCAACTCCTGGAAAATATTCATGTGACGAGACAGCATTTGTTACAACTATGGCATATCCGAAAAGTAAAACTTGATCAGTGTCTTCAGCTACGTCTGTACGAGCAAGATGCTCAAAAAGTATGTATAATTATCCAATGCCATATTATGTTTAAATTCTCTTACAATATTTTTGAATTTGGTCAAACATTAGAAATGTTTATTTGTAGGAAATAAAAATACACATTAATAAAACTCCTATGATATTTTTTTTATTCTTCTTATTTCTCTTTTTGTTTCAATTATTGATGTCTATATATTTTTAAATATTCCAGAGCTCATTATTTTATTATAATTGTTAGTTATTAGAATATTTGCTTTAAATATTTAGAAAAACAACAGCAAAGCTACAATTAAAATTTTTTTTTATTATTTGCAATTAATTTTGTAATTTTTTTTTCAATCAGTTCACTTTTTTCTAACAGGTAAACATAAATATAATAAGATTTCTAGAAATGTTAATTTAATTTTTTATAATTAATTTAACTCTTAACAATTGACTCTTTTTAATTCTATTTTTATTTAAAATTTGTGCTATTATTGAATTTATTTTCATGATGCTCTATTATTACATTTATAAATATATCTTGCCTAAAATAATTAATGATTCATTTGTAAATTAAGTCTTTTTGTTAAAGAAATGTACTTTTAATTGAGTCTGAAAGCTATATTTTGTGTATTTTGCAGATGTTTGATTGGATTTACCATAATAGAGATCTGTTCCTTGTCAGCTATGTTGATATAGGCCAGACATATCAAGAGGCAAAGGATCTACAAGAAGAGCACAACCATTTTACTATGTCCTCAATGGTACTTTTTTTTTCTTGAAGAGAAAATAAAAAAATTTGAATGAAACTTTTATTTATTAATGTTTAATTCCTTCATGATTTCATTAGTTATTCTTTTTCAATTTTTAATGAAAATATTTTTAAGCCTAAAATTATGTTTAAGTTCTTTAAGTTCATTGCTGGTTTCATTAATACTGAAAAAATGCTATTCTTAATTTTGTTCTTCATTAAGTATGTCACTTGATTTGGAAGTTACCAGGGTATAAAAATAGGCTGAAAAAGAGTCCGAATTGGAATAATATCTAGTACATTCATCAAAAGGTGAAAGTATTTATGAATTCAGTACTGATGCACAAAACTTCTAGAAGAGATAGATTATGCCTAAATTATTTGGAATGCAATAAATATGAATGTTAGAAACCTAAAAAGTAGCCACTGTATTGTACTCTTTGTAGTTGAATAAAAAAAGGAAACTTATATGCCAAATCAAAATGTTATGTTAAAAAAGAAAAAAATGGATGTATACTTCCTAAACGACTCTATTAAAGAATTAAAAATGTTTTATTTATTATACTTTTCAACAGAGTTTTTTATTAAAATTTTTGAATTCATTGTAATAAATTATATAAATTAACTTATCACGAAATTTCTACTATATTTTTTATTTATACTAGGCGGCTCTGTCCCTTGCTTGCTATTGCTCCATAACCCCTGAAACTACTAACACAATTCCTTTCAGATTGCTTTTTTTTTGCCTTCTCTTCGATTCATGTCTTTTGATAATTCTTTACTTCTCTATTTTTTTAATTGTTTATTCTTTTCTCCTTAGTCTTGTTTAATATCCTAGATATTATGTTTTAATTTTTTTATAGTTTATTTGAACTATTTTAAAGGCTGTGCCTTCTGCTCATTATCACTCCCTAATCCTTGTAAATTGCTTCCACAGTTTTTTTTCCAGATTGTTTGTCAAGTCATTGTCTGATTATCTTAATTCTATAATTTTGATTATTTTTTTTTGTGTCCACCTTATTCCAAATTGGGTGATACCAAACTGTTCAATGTTAACCTCACGTAATGTGACCATTGAACCTCTTGGGTTATTGCTATTCCACATTTGCTTTGCTCAACCACTTTTTTGTAAACAATCACATTCCCCTTAATTTCTTTATTCTAGACTTTGTTTGTTTTATTATTGTTTGTATGTAATTTGTTTGTTTGTATCTTGGATCTCAATAATTGTTTTTCACCATTCAATGACTGAATATATTTAATATCCAAATACAAATGCAATTTTGCTCTATTTTAATATATATTGTTATTATCATTGTGATGTATCATCATCTAATATATTTCTGAAACCATCATTAAATCTATCATCACTCAATCATTCCATCAATTATTTTATTGATAAAATGTTTAATTTGCAACAATACAACATATCATTTTTTATATTTATTTGTAACAATAATGTTGGGTCATCAATTTTATTATGTTTACAGCAAAGTAAAATATTTTAATTTATTGCTTAATCTAATGAAATTTATATTTACAGAATGTCTATGTTAACATCAATCGCATTTTATCAGTGGCATCTCGTTTAATTGAGGGAGGCCATTATTCAGCTGCTACTATACAACAAATTGCTGCTCGATTGGATCGTGCATGGAAAGAATTTGCTGCTGGCCTTGATGAAAGAACTACTGTTTTAGCTTTGTCAGTTCTCTTTCATCAAAAAGCTGAACAAGTAAATATTTATAATTAAACTTACTTTAATTTACTTTTCTTTTTTTCTAAAAGGAGTTCGTTGAGATAAATTTTTTTGGAAATATTCAAAATATTGGGATATTTTAATGAAATTCTGTTCTCTGAAACTTTTTTTATAAGTACATAGATTTTTTTATAAGTACATAGAATGCTTTTTACTAAAAAATTTCTTATACTTCTATTATTACTGGAACAATATGGGTATTATTCTATATAATAATTCAAATATTATAATTGTTATAATAACAATATTATGAAGTATTGTAATAATTAAAATTTATAAATTTAGATATAAATATTAAAGCATTAACATGTCTGTTAAAACAGTAAAAAAATAAAATATTATCATGTCTCTTAATGGTTTGCCTCTTTTCCTGAATGAGACAAGGATCGGCCATGTTTGTTTTCTTAAAGTGCATGTATAGTTTCCGAATTATTTTGGAAAAATATAGGCAGTGTGTCACTTAAAAGACTTACGATTTCTATAATTAATTACATAGTCTAAACGAAATAAAAAATGTGGCTGCATGCAATTGTTTCCATAATTGAAGATTGTTATATTTTAAAAACCATTTTTATATGACATATATTACAAACTTTTTTAAGTCAGTTGTTAGAAACTAATTGTATTGTTATATTATTTTTCTTTAAATATTGAAAATACTGTTGCATTAAAAGGCATGTCCCATCATTCCCTTTACATAACATTTTATTAAGAAAAAATCTAAAAGTTTTGCCTTTTATGTAATTGTCAATCCATTATAGTAAATATTTTAGTAATCGAGTGAGAATAAAATAGGTAGAGTTTCCTTCTTTCTTTAAAAAAAAAAAAATAAAATAAAAAAATACACAAGTAGTTGCTTATTTGAAAAGAGTTTTTTATTACATATATAAATAAAGACTTTTAACTAAAATCTAAATCTAAAGCAATAGATATGATACTAGAGTTATTGCAACAAGAAAAAAAAATACAATGTTAATTTTAAGCAAAATTGCTGTTGCCCATCCATTTTTAGTCTCCACAGTACATATATACAAAAGGAACATTTTAAATGCAGTTCTATTTCATATTAAATTAATTAAAATATCCCAAAATAATAATAAGAATTGAATTGTTAAAATCAGTAATTAATGTTTTAACTTTCCTAAATAAATTAATAATTTTTTAAGTTTTATTTATTTTGATTGAAAAATTTTTACAGTGAAAATGTAAATTTTTATTTGTTTAAATTTCTTTTAATGTTCTTCTTTTTAAATAATTCATGTATTTAAAATAATGTACTTAATATATACTCAGTATACTTTACATGCCTTTGATATTTTGCATTTATGAGTTTATTCAGATGTGTTTGATACTTTCAGCTCTTTGATGTACAAAATAGTTATAAGTTTAATTATCTTTTTATGCACTTATTTGTAATTGTATCCTGTATGTTGCTGTATTAAGATATAAGGATAGATTACTCTATTAAGCTACATACCTGCCAACTTTTACGCATTTAATGTAAAATTTTATTTCTATATTTAAAGTGGTAGTAAAATGCATGCTTTCTATATATTCCTTGCATTTATAAAATTAATTTATAATATTTTTGATCCACCACTATTTTTTAAAAAACTAAGCATATATATTAATATGTAATACTGTTCAAGTAATCCGCATAAGCTTATTCAAAATACAGCGAATGTTTTTGCCTAAAATTGTAATTTGCATTTCATTTTACTACCACTTTCATTTTACTACCACTGCCTTGAAAGGATTAAAAGTTGGCAGGTATACAGCTGTAATGATGGTGCATGTATTATTCAGCTTCCATTAGTTATGACAGCAAAACATTCTTCACTCTTTGAAAACAGAAAAATTCTAGTGGTGTGACTTTAAGGGTAGATAAGTGTTCGTAAAATTAGAAGATTGAACATAATTGAAAGTCCAACTGTTTTTTATTTATGATCAGTTTCTATTTATATTTATTCTATTTCAGTCAGTAATTAGTTTTTACTCTTGTTTGTAGTACATGAACAATGTCTCTCCTTGGAGTAAAGCATGTGAGCAAACTATAGTTCCTAGAGAAGTAGTTCATTTGGAAGAAGTTATTCATCAGCATCAAACACTTTATGAAAATATGTGCCAAGCTTACACTGAGGTTAGAACTCATTTTTTTCATTTCATTTCTTTAATTTACCAGTTTAGTTACTCTATTGTCAATGGTTATTGTTACACAGTATGTTTTTTGTTATGTTTTATTGGTATATCAGTTATATTTTATCAGTATAAACTGATTTATGTACAGTATTTGTCTTTTTAAATTTGTATTTCATTTGTTTATTGTTTATAATCTTGTGAGAATCCTAATTCTGAGTTTTATATCTTACTTTATCTTTCACACATTATACTTTCTTACTTTATCTTTCAAACATTATTTTAGGTTCATAGCACCAGTAAAAAACTTCTTTATCAGCTTGATCATCTTGTACAAGTATGTCATCAGCCGAGAGTCGATATGTCTTCGAGAAAACATGTAAGCATTTTTTGTTATGTCTTGTATTTTTAAAGAAAAGTTTGTTATAATAACCATCATTGTTTTTTTTTCTGTACATTTAAATAACTTTTTCTGAGAATAAGAGTTTTCTTATTTATTTCTAAGTAAAATGTTTAGTACAAACTTTTTGTTTTTCTAAAAAAGTTGTGGGAAAAAAAAGAGATGGCAAAATTATATTATTTCCATATTTCCATCTTTTTAAAAGAATTAAAAAATATAAAACATGTTAAAATTTTAAAGTAGAAATGTCAGGTTTAGGTATTGAAATGTATCATTACACTTTTTTTACAATAAAGGTAATGCAAAAAATGGGATAAACATTCATTGAAATTAAGTGTTTTTCAAATTTAATTGTTTTGTATTTATAATCTTCTTAATTGTTATAGTTTTGAGTTACATTTTTTATATGATATCAATTAGCTTTCTATTTTGAAAGCATATACAGTGTTTTTATGTACAAAATAAATATTAAAAAATAACAAAATACGTATTTTATGGAGAAAAAAAGTTATCCCATGAAGTTTTTTTTCCATTTGTACAATACATTAGATTACACTAAACCTCTAATTTCTAATGTTGCTTATTTTACAGTTGCATAATGATGGAAAGAATATAGAAATGATGAATCACAATGGCAATAACCATCTCTGCAATCCTGCTGCTGATTATTCAGAAGGTGCCAAACATGTACTATCTGTAATACATGATATTTTAAACCATCACCGTGCACTGGAGACTCAGTGGCATACAAAAAAAGTAAAACTTCATCAGCGTTTGGCCTTGGGCCTCTTTCAAGAAGATGTCAGACAAGTAAATATATTTAGTTTATTCCTGATAATTAAATGGATCTGGGCATTTAAATTATATTAATTATTGAATTTGTTATAATAATAAATTTTTAATATTGATTCAAATTAAATCAAAAAAATTTTTAATTTAAAGGTATTAGATTGGCTGGAAAATCATGGTGAAGTATTTTTAAGAAAAAATACTGGTGTTGGAAGAAATCTACAGCGTGCTAAAGTTCTCCAAAAAAGCCATGAACATTTCGAAACAGTTGCTCAGGTATAAATTTCTCTTAATTTGCTTTGCAGTTGGTAATTATTTTTATTTACAACAGCATAATTACAGATCGCAGAAAATATTTTATACACCAATTTTTATAAATAATAAAATTTTTACTCTAAACAGGGTTATCACACATATATGACTCCCACAAGATGCGTAAATGTAATTGTAAAACAATGCTTAGGCATTTCCCAGGGATGCTTTGAATTAATTTTAAATATATGCATATGCGTCTTGCAGAGGGCATGAAATAAATTTAAATCTTTGCAAATTGTATCCCATAGGATGCACAAATTAAATATAAATCTATGCATGTGTGTCTCACGCAATATGTAAATTAAATTTAAAACTATGCATGTATGCCATACTATGCTAAAACTAAGCCATGCATACCGCCAGGTGAGTGAATTAGATTAACTATGCATATGCATTCGTGGTAATGGAATTTAGTTTCATTAGTGTTACTATTATCCTTGTACAATTTAGTTTTATTGCTATTTAATTTAATATTTCCTTATTAAATATTTAATTTTAAAATTATGTATTTCTATAGTTTTGAAATTCAATTTACGCGTCCCATGAAATGCATAAATTTAATCTCTAAACAATAAATCAAGATAAAAAAAAATCTGTTTTCACAGTCGCTGCATTATTACTTTTTATTATTACTTCTTGTTTTGTTTACTACCTGTACTCATAATTATTGGTTATAAAACAATATATAATTTATTTTAACAGTTTTTTAAACAGTTGTAATGTTTAAAAACAGCTTGCCCAATATTTATACCTGTTAAGAAAAATGCATTTTTAGTAATAGTTTCAAACACTATACTACATATTTTCAAACACTGTCGAAATTGTTTAATATTCTTCCTGTTATAAGAATATATTTTACACATTCTTGAAATAATTTTAAAATAATGTTTGCTCTTATTGGTATAAATTATTTTCTAGAATACATACACAAATGCTGAAAAGTTACTTGCTGCAGCTGAAGAACTTGCACAAACAGGGGAATGTAATGCTGAAGAAATTTATGGAGTTGCTCAAGAATTAGAGGGTCACATTACCAGTTTTGCAGCCAGAGTTGATCAAAGGAGAAACCTGTTAGATCTAGCTGTTATGTTTTTCACTCATGAAAATGAAGTAAATATTCTGTAATTTTTATGCACTTATGATTAGGGTTGTTCTCTGGTAGTAAAATGATGTAAATGAAAGATATTTAAGTTTTTTTTCTGTAGAAAAATGAATAAGTTATTTGTTCAATCTATAGTTTGAGGATGCTTTTACAAAAGTTTGAAGTATTATTTGAAATAATTCTTTTTTAAATCTATGAAATCTTACATTCTTAACACTTACAAATGTAAAAAATATTGGTGAAAAGAACATCTAAATGAAAATACCTATAAATTTCTTGTTCAGCTTTCATCTTTTGAAATTAACACTTGAAGTATTGTTTTATGTATTAAGTTAATTTTTTGATCTTTAAATTGCTTTTATAGTGAGTAAAAAGAAAAAGGGGGTGGGGTCCCATTCACTCATAGGGATTGCTCTTACTCATTGAGATTCAGAATGTTTCAGATCCGTGGCATCATTATTTAGATTGCAAGAAATTCTTCAGTGTATAAAAAGAAACTGAATAAACAAATTGGATATGTGTTAAGATGATAATCTCATTTCCTCTTTTAAATTTATGGAATTAATTTATTTTCTAGTAATGTATTAATGAGTGTTTTTATTTCCTCTTATGGGTTAGTTAAAGAATAGATAATGCTATCTTAATTTTATTTATAGGAATGAAATTCAGAAACAAATAATGCTTATTTTCTTATTCCCCATTTCCAAATAAGACATTTCTTCATTCGATGATATGCTACAAAATCTAATTTCAAATCTAAATTTGTTGTCTTTGTTCTGCATTAAGTTGTCTTTTTTCCCCAGGAGTCTATATTTTTTAATGTTAAAATTTCAAAATAGTTATGACAACAAATCAATTTAGGTGAATTTGGATATTCAATAATTCACAGAAATTTTTAAAATCTTGCTAGTTTATCTTTCAAAAAATTAGTTATTTTACCAAATTTTAGTATTATAACAAATTTTAATTCTTTTTATTCAGTTAAATGGGGACTTTTTGATAAAATTCCCTTTGGAAAATGGTGCATTATATTATATATTTTTGCATTTCAGTTGACTAGTTGGTTTGAAGAATTACGTCAGGAATTACAAAGTGATGAAGTTGCAGAAAATGTTGAAGGAGCTGAACAACTTTTAGAGCAGTTCAATCAGCAAAGAGATTCTACTATTGATGCTGCAATGAATACAGTATCTGAAGGAGAAGCTCTGTTAGAAGAATTACAGTATGTATATACATTTTACTGTTATACTTCTATATTTATAATTTTGAATTTTGTAGTGATCGAAGGGTCAATGACATCAAAAGCACTGATATATTGATGTTATTAGTTTAATTTTACTTTATTTGCACAAAGTATAATTTCTATTTAACCTTTTTATTTAAGTTGTGTGGTGGAGTTAATAATTGCAATGTCATAGTAATGTAATTTGCATATCTTTTAATTTTAAAATAAATTGAAATGTCTTTTTTTGCAATGTCATAGTAATGTAATTTGCATATCTTTTAATTTTAAAATAAATTGAAATGTCTTTTTTTTAAATATAATTTATATTGGCATTGATGTTTTGATAATTAGTTCAGGTATACTAAAGCCACTCCTACTTTATTTGCATTTTTCTAACTAGTCTTACTTATTGATTCCTAACACTATTGACATTTCTTATATCATCATGTTTAGTTTATAAGTTTGTTTGACTGAACTTCGAGTGTTATTTCATCCTAATTGTGTCCTTTGTGATGATGTGTTTAGTTCTCCGTAAGTATACGATAAGTCTCTATCCTAAATCCATTAATCTTCATAAAAAATTTTAAAATGCTCTTTTTTCCAGAAGTATATAGATTTTCTTAAGGAATGGCAAGTCAGGAACGCTACTGAATTACATCACATGTGTGAAATTTGCCAGCCTGATTATGTCTTTAAACGTTTGACTCGTCACAATATTTATCGTAATTAAATATAAATATCTTTTGGGCTCATACATGCTCAATTTGCTTTCATTATCTAATGATATTGAACAACCATTATTTTTCAAAGCGAATAATAGAAAGTGTAATCATCCCATTGTTTCTGATAAGTCTATTCCTTGTCAATTCTGAATTTTGTAAACAATTTTCCTGACAAAGGAGTAATATCTTTAGACTGTGCTTCTTACCTAATGCAGCTCATCTATATTTTTAATTGGAAGAGGTTAGAATTCTAAGAACAAATTTTCCAGTGCAATTTTCAAAGTGAATCAATCTGTATTTTGGACCCTTACAAAATTCTTTCTTATCTCAGTTTTAAAGACCACTCATGATTGAGCAAAGTGTTTTTTAAAATTTTTATATTAAAATCTGCTTTGAAATTAGCATTGTCTGTTATGCACAGTGCTTCAAGTATTGTTTATTTGTATAATTTATTCAGAGATGGAAAGAACCCCAAAATCCCCTTCATTAACTGAAAGTCTCATTTAAAGAGCCATATTAGTATGAAACCATTGTAACTATTTTCTACTGAAAACTCTTATTTATATTTCAATATCATTAGAATGTTTTTTGTGTTATTAATTTTTAATATCTAATCTAGTAATTTTCTTATAATCCCTAATCTCTTTCTTTTAGAAACTCTGGATTAGAACCTGATAGTGACTCTAGTACATCAAATGCTGCCATTGAAGGACTTCTAGAATCTCTTAGTCGAAGTAGAGAGGAACTTGAAGAACTCTGGGCAAATAGAAAACTAAAGCTTGATCTGTGCCTTCAGCTGCGACTGTTTGAAAGAGATGCATTGGAGGTAAAATTGCTTTTGTCAAATGATTTTTTTTAATTTTGCGAATGACGCCAAAAGTTTATTTTTTTTCTCCAGAGATTCATTACCACTTAATCTATCTAAGAGCAATTTTTTTTATAAAATTACATTTACTTCCCACCTGAGTCATAAATACCATCTAACAATAACTAGAAAAACAAATAATATTTTTTAAATATAATAAAGAAATCTAATTAGATGTTTCATATGTATTGTTTAAAAATTTGGTAATTTTTATATGGAAGACAACATAAATCATGCACTATAATTAATATATATATAAGCTTTCTATTTAATATGCTATGCAATACTGAACTTTTCTAGGCACACATTTTTTGCTAATATGTTCTTGAAAATGTGGAATTTTACTGAAAGGTATAATTCTATTTTCAAATCATAAATCAAGATTTAGTTTCAAAAATTATTGATTATTATTAAAATAATAATGCATTAATATGCAGTTTTGACCCACACTGTTAACATTTCAACTTGCTTGTTGTAATACTTACTTCTAATTTAGATATCTTCTGCAGTATATTGTCTTCTCAGATGAATTATAGAGATAACACATTAAAGAGTAAACTTTCTTTATACGATGGAAATCTTTATCATATTTGATATTCAATGAAATAAAGGGCAAAGTTTTATTGGTAAACAACCGAAGTCAGTAAATTTTGTTGTACTGTAATTAGTAAGAATAGTATTAAAACTTAAAATGTTATGAGCGGTTGAATTATTAAACTATTCAAAATCAAAAGGGATCTTATCTCTGATTGCCTGTTTACCATGTCTGTGGTTTTAAGTCATTAAGTCAAGTGATTTGCATTTTTCTTAATGGTTCTGTTTATCATCATATTCCATTTTTATATTAAGATAACTTATTTTTGTTTCTTTAAATATTCTGTTTTTTTTTATATCTATTAATCCTAATTTTGTCATTGCTATTACAACATTCAAGTATAAAAATATATTTTTCTTTATTCTAAGAGATGTTTGTATTTTTTATAAAGATTATGAAAAAGAACTTTTATAGCATTTATGACAAATGGTATGAAGTTTATTCATGGAAATCAATTTTTCATTCTGTTTGTACAGGTTTTCATTCTTGTAACTAAATAAGAAATTAAAAAGATCATACTCATAAACAAAAAAAATTTTATTTTATTATATGCTTTTGCCAGCTTAGCAAAATCTATTCCAATACATTTTGATATTTTTTTAAATATATGCTTTTTTAGATATCTTCACAGTTAGAACTATGGTCTGAGGAACTGCAAAATGCTGATATTGCAAGAGATATGAGTGAAGCTGAACATACCTTGCATATACACAATGAAAGTGTCAGCAACATGCAGCAGACTGCCTTAGATGTTATTCAGAGGGGACAAGAACTATATCAAGTATAAATTTTGATAACTTTGGATAAATATTATAAGCATTAAATCAATTTATGTGTTATTGTTGGTGTTATTTTTTTCCTCTTACAATGTAATAACCTCACTTCACACATTCAGCATTTTTAATTTATTTATTAATCTTAGATGAAATTTATACTAAATTTGAGACGCTTCGTATAATGTTTAACCTGCTATTCAAATTTTTTTGCATAATTTTTCTTCCAGATTGCTCCAAAAATGGAGCTTTTCCTTTTTTTTTTGTATCTCAAAACAAAAAAAAATTTTCCCCCCAAAGAATATTGATGTATGGTTGAGGCAAAATCAAGTGTCGTCACAAACCACTGGACGACAAACAGCAATTATAATATTGTCTGCCAGTCGCCACTGGATTACCACATTTTCCATCAATGTGCATTTTATTGTTATTATTTATTATACAAATGGAATTATTATGAATATTTCATAATGTAATGGAATTATATGAACATTTTATAATGCTTCTTTCCTGAAATTTTTCTTCATTTTAGAAGGGAACCTTATAATGTTTACCATATTTTATAAAAAAAATGCTTCAAAGAATAACTTTTATTATTAACATAAATTTTTTTTATTGTTTGAAATTTTTGGTTTTTTGAAAAAGTGGCCTGTTGCAAAATTTCCCAAATTGCCCTATTTTATTTCCTAACTTTAATGCTGAAATAATTTGTTATTCCAGAATTCACTCTTGGAGTAAAAAAAAGGCATAGTGCTTCCTCACAGAAAAGGGCCCTTGGAGTTTTGAAAGGGCACTCACTTAATACTCTAGAAATGTATCAAAATGTGTAATATTATTTAATAACTGAATTTGATCCTCAACAATTTTTAAATTACCCTCTTATATTATTTTATATGTTTATATTAAAAAGTAATTCTCATTCATTATCAAATTGAGAAAAGAACTTTTAGTTTATAAAAAATGGGGATGCTAAAAGACAATCTATGCGCATACATTTTTTCAAAAAAAGTGAGTTAAAAAAATCACTTAAAAAATTCCTTATTATACTGCTTCCCCCACTGAAAAAGAGAAATTTATGAAAATTTAACTATTTAATAATAATCTAAACAGATAATTTTACCATTGTATAATTATTATTTAAACAGTGGGTTAATCTTTCTTTAAATGGAATATGAATAAAAAGGCAGTGTTTTTAAGGGATTGCAGTTTATTTTTTATAAAAAGGGCAAAGAGGGTGCATTTATAAGGATCAAAGGGCTGTCAGAGCAGGCTGCCTTTATAAAAGTGCATAGGGAGAATACTGGTTATTCATTAAATTATGGATGAAATATTTATGTTTATTAGATTATGATTGCATTGATAAAGTCATTTCTCCCTCCAGTTATTTGAATCCTCAGGGATACAACTAATGGCTGATCATCAATATGATGGACAAGCAAGGGTGCAAGTTTTATTGGACTTTCTTCAGGAGCGTCATCTAGACCTAGAAGATGTTGCCGAAGCAAAGCGTGTTAAACTCGAACAAAGTATCCAACTCTGCCAGCTAGAAAATGATGCTAGTCAGGTATATTATCATTTGATTAATGAATTATATGCTCATATTTTTAATTCCTGAATTTTGAAAAAAATCTTGTTTTTTTCCATGTAGGTTTTAAGTTGGATTGGTAATGGCGAAGCTATGCTTGTTGCATCCTTTATTATACCATCAACTCTACAAGAAGCAGAACAACTTAGAACTGAACATCAACAGTTTCAGTTAGCCATTGAGGTTATATATTTGGATATTATTTCATTTTATTGTATACAGGGATGAGATTTTTCCGCTTTTTACCGGATTTCCGCTTTTTTTTTCACTTTTGTCTCTCAAATTTCAGCCTTTTTATCAAAAACTCCGATTCTCTTAAAATTTCACTTTTTTTTAAATTAATATTCCGCTTTTTCAGAAAATTCAGCCACTGAAATATAATAATTATTTTTATTTCCGATTTTCAAAGGTAAGCAGGAAATTCAAACTACAAAGCTACCAACCCTTTCCGCATTTTTACTTATTTTAGCTATTTTCTCCGCTTTTAAGCACAGAAGATAAGATTTTCTGCATTTTTACCCGCCAGCCAGATATCTTGTATTTTCGTAATTCAAACGACGCTCCTTCAGACAAGTCTTTTAGAAGTCGCAAGCCTGGAATCTGCTAATATCTCGATTCTTATTCACACAATTTTAATATCAAGCATAGCTTTTCGTATTTACGTGATTTAAAAGTTGCGTATTCCGATTCTTATTTACGAGATTTAAAATCTGATATCGTGATTTGTATTTACGCCTTTTTAAAAACCTATGTAGCGATTCTTATTCACAAGAGTTTAAAATCCAATGCCGTGATTCGCTCATGCGGTTATAATATCAAACATCGATTTTCGTCTTATACGTGCTTTAAAAATAAGGCATTGGGATTTGCATTCAAAATTATGTCTCATAATTCTTATTTATGCAATTTAAAATTTACGCATAATGATTCGTATTTACGTGATTTAAAAATTATGAATCGTGATTTGTATTTACGCGATTTAAAAATTTTATATCGCAGTTTGTATTTTGCCATTTTCAAAATTGTATATCTAGTTTCATACTCACGTGATTTCAAAATCCATAATCATGATTCATATTCACGCTATTTTAAAATCCAGGATTGCCATTTGCATTCGCGCAATTTTAAGATCAACTATTGCGATTCTTGTAAGAAGAAAATTTTTTCTTGATTTAGTTACTCTAAAGGTAACTGTTTTTCTATCGACGATTACTAGTATATGTAGGTGTTACAACATCAACGAAACTGGAATAGAATATATTCAAAACTTTTACTCTGGGCTTGCAAGGAAGAAAAAGTAGGATTTGTCACAAGATGTTTGAAGATGGACTAACGACTAAATATAGCACTTAAAAAGTGATTAAATTTTTTTTTTTTTTTTGGAAAGAGAGTTAATTAACTCAGCATCAAAATGCAAAATTTAAAAAATAATAAATTTAAGAAATAATGCTGCTGTTATTTATGCTATGAAATGAAAAGTTCTTATCAAATGAAAAATAATTATCTAAACAGTTGCTGATTGCCATGTAATTTTTCGAACTAAAATAGCAATTTTTGTATGTTAAGGAGTTACTATATATTTTTACTTCACAGTTATTGACATGTTTCACAGGATCAGATTATAATATAAACATAGCGATTCTCCAATTGTAAAAGTTCTGTAAATTTTCTTTTCAAAATAATTTAAAAAGTCATGTTACTGATATATTTGCCTTAAATCATGTAACAGTATTTATTAACAGAAATGGAATGTTAATGTATGTTCTCAGTTGTTTTAATTTGCTAAACCAGACAGTTTCTCAAGTATCTAATAATTGTCTCTTATGTGAACTGAAGAAAAATATAATTTCTAGCTTTATTTTTTCAATTGGTAATTTTTCTTTTTACTAAATGTTAAGTATCGATGTAATCATTTATATAATAATAAATTAATACACAATTTTATGTCAGCACATTGTTATTTATTATATTAAACTGTCTGGAATTTATTGTTAACCGATTGCACGTACATAAAATTTACTTTTTTGGAAATTCAGCTTTTTTGCCTTTTGGCCAATCTCATCCCTGTGTATATAATTTTATTATAGTTCACAAGTTCATTTGTCGTATAAAAATGTATGTTTTTAAATGTGCATGTGGTATTTTATTCTTAGAAAACGCATTCAAGTGCAGTTATGGTACAACAGCGAGCTGAATCTCTTATTCAAGCAAGTCATTATGACCCCTCAAGTGTACGAGCAATATGTGATGAGGTTAATTCCAGTTGGCATCAACTTATGACGCATGCAGAAGATAGGCATAAACTAACTACAGCATCTTTAAATTTCTACAAAACTGCTGAACAGGTACATAATTTAAATACTAGTTTTGAAAAAAATTTACTTCCTTTATAGATTTTTATGAATGTTATTCTTTAAGATATGATAATCAGATGAAGTTGAACTTATGAAAATTACACACACACACACATATATATATATATATATATAGTAAAAATCTTTATGTACACAGTTATAATTTTTGCTTAAAGTCGCAAAACATATTAAGTTAGGAAATTTTTTGTAAAAATTAATGTAATTTCTTTTTTTCTTTTGTTGCAGTTAACCATATATATAATGGAGATATATCTTATGCAGTTAAAGATATATATAATGTGATATATTTTCAAAATAATTGTTTTAACTTTCAGTACGAAGTGAGTTTCAAAATTAATCTTGCAGATTTATCCATAGTGTAAAGTTTTTGCTCATGACTACTTTGGTGATTTCATTTTATAATCATCTCTAACAATTAGAACAACAACAAAAAAATTTCTTGCGACTTTTTCTAAAAACAGTTTTTGTTCTGTATTCAGTATAATCACTCTCGTCTGTAGCCATATTTTCCCAAAAACTTTATTATATGCTTAAAGACAATTTATAATGGCCCTCTTAATTATATTTTTTTATAACATAACCATATCTATCAGGCAGATTGTTGATCAAAATTTTTTTTTTCTGAATTTAGTGTAATCACTTTTATTTCCTACCATACTTTTTTGAATACTTATTCATTTTCTCTCCTTTTTTTATCATTAGGTTTGTTCAGTATTAGATAGCCTTGAGAGAGAATACAAAAGAGACGAAGACTGGTGTGGCAGCAATAATGAAACTGGTGAGAAAAAGGAGACTCAAGAAAAGATAGCACTTGTTTCTCAGCTCTTGACGAAACACCAAGAACAAAAAGAGGCCTTCTTAAAAGCCTGCACCCTTGCTCGTCGCACAGCTGAGACATTTTTAAAGTATAGCACCAGATGTGTACAGTATTATAGCTCCCAAATTGAAGTTAATCACAAGGTTCCTGAAAACAAAGTTAAAGGTATGATATTTTTAACTTTACATTTTTTATTAATATTTAGTTTGAAATTATATTCTTCTGCACTTTTAGGGAATTGTTATTATTAATTTCGTATTTACAAATTAATCAGAATGGTTTTTAAATATTTTGATGCTAATCTTATTATTAATTCCTTCTTGTTAACGTTTACTTTCTTATTGTAGCTACTCTAGACCAATTGTTAAGTCAAGAAAATAAAGTTTTAGAGCACTGGACTGCACGGAAAAAGAGATTAGATCAATGCCAACAATTTGTCCTTTTCGAAAATAGTGCTAAGCAGGTAAGTTAAAATCAACTTTTGCTTTCTTTTATTACACATGTTATCCCTAACATGTGTGAAGTCCTTTTTATATGATTCAAGTTCTTGGACCAAAATTTATGGAATTTTGTTTTGCTTGGATCATGTTAACAATTATCCAAGTTCCTTGGATGATAGTAGAATCTGTTCTACTTACCATCCAAGTTTTTGCAACCCGCATTTGCTTTACATGGAGAGAAAGACCACGAGAGCCTCCCAGGGTTAGCCTGATGCAAGATTCCTCAGATACAAGAACTTGGATTGGATTAACAGGCTTTTTATAATGAAAAAAATTTTTTAAAACATTGCAATGATATTATTAGGATGCCATTTTCTTAAATCATATTTTGTGCAATAATTTTGTTACATTTAGCTAGACTGCTCTTTGAGTACTTTACTAAAATTGCTCTGATACATTAAGAGGGAAAAAACAGGTAACTCTAAGATCATGAGTAAAAAATTTTGTTTCATGGTGCAATAGCAATTCTGTGATAAAAATGTTTGATATGTTACTGCTCATTTTAATTTATCTACTATATATTTTAAATTTTTGAATTAAAAAGAGTTAAAATGGTGTTTTATTTTCCTAATCTTGTCATAATGTAGATCAGTCACTTTATATTTTGATTTAACTCTATATTGTACAATCTGTATTTAGGGTTGAAAATAATCATAGTTATATGGTATGGGGAAATTATATATTCCTCCAGATTGAAAAACGTATCTTAAAATAAAAATAGGATAAAGTTTTTTTTTTTCAACGAAAAAAATTACCACTTTTTAAACTTTTGTAAAGTTCACAAATCTTTGCATGGTTTTTATTATTGTATTATGCATTATTAGAAAAGTATGTCTGGTATTAAATAATGTGAAATAATGTAATTTGTCAAGATATAAGGATTTTGTAAAAGCTATAAACTCGAAAAAGAACAACTTTATAACTTTTCACCTTTTTAGTGCTTAAGACATGACACGTGTAGTGTAATGTTCAAATACAAAAGTAACCTTTATATTCAGATTTGAAAAGAAACTTTTAAAAAGGCTTAGTATTTAGTTTTCTCTTCTTTTTTTTTTTTGGACATTACAATTTTTTAATTACTAAGTAAATTTTTATTGAAATTGAGTGTATATCTCAGATCTAATTAACCTTTTGATTCAAAACTTAGTTCAAATTAATATTTGCTTACTTTCTCTCTACAAACACCTCTCTTTACTCTTGTTTCTTACCACAGAAAAGGTGCACAGGCACGCAACAATCTTTATTTAATGCACATTTAAAGTGTGAAAAATTTAAAGTGTACAATATTTATTTTTCAAAACTCCATTTTTATTGTATAAAAAAAGAAAGTTTAAAAAAAATGAAGCTTTAAAGTAGTTTTTCATTTTATTAAGGCTTTGGAATGGATAAGAGAGACAGGGGAAGACTATCTTGATAATCGTCGGACGTTAGGGGAAAATGTTGAAGAAACAAAATCTTTGCTCAAAGAGTACAATGAATTTAAAGGCAATGCCAAAGTAAGTCATTTTTTTGTTTAAAACTTTTTCCTTGCATTGGATATTTATATTAAAAATATTAAATGTGAGAATTTTTAACTTGTTTATCCTTATATTCTAGATGTTTTAATTATTATTTATTATAACAGGAGACGAGAGAGAAAGTCCGATTACTGCTTCAGCTTGCTGATAGTCTTGTTGAGCGAGGGCATGCTCATGCGTCTGCAATCAAACAGTGGGTTGCATCTGTTGATCAAAGTTATAAAGATTTCAGTGAACGTATGGACCAGTATCGTCAAAAGTTGGAAGAAAAACTGGGTTTGCAATCTGATGTAAGTATACACATTTATATTTTAGATCGGGAAAATTTCCTCATTGTTCAAAGCTATTATTTCCAATTAAGATTTATTATGTCATGTTTATTTTCCTTTTTACTTTGGCAAGTATTGGTGTATCTGTTTTAAATAAAATTTCACTTAATCTTGATTGCTATTTTTAGAGTTTCAAAAACATATCAAGCACTTTGAAACTGCTTAATAAGATTCATCTAATCTTGTAACTTTTGCAATACACTTTTTTTTATCTATAAAACTTAGTTTTTCAGTATCTTAACATTGGTTTTCTTTCTCATTTTCTAAACTATTATAAAATTTTTATTGCTCCCTTATTTAAATATAAAAAAACTAGATTAAAAAATTATTATGTTAAACAATTATTATTATGTTAAAAATTATGTAAGACTAGTTTTGAAAACAATTTTGGTCACCTTAATATTAAAAAAATCTATAGTCTGCAATATTCTGTGTTTGTTTCCAAAGTGCCTGGTTTTTTCATTTTTCTAAGACTTTGTGGGGGAAAAATAAAAAAATTAAGAGGCATAATGGGATGTTACATTTATAAATATTACTAGCAGTATTTCTATCAAGTAATTTTAAACATTAATAAAATCTAGTTCCTTGATTCTTATCCTATTTATGTGAAATAATAGTAAAATTAAAATATATAGTGTGATCTGTTAATTTATAAATATTACTTAGTAATTTTCCAAGCACTTAATTTTAAACATTATTAAAAACTAGCTTTATTTTACAGAGAGATGCTAAAGATTTGTCTCTAGACCGACACAGTGATCCAACTTTAGAAGATAAAGTGAAGGAGGCTGCGGCTAAGGAGCTTAATGAAGAAAAACGTAAATCGGCTCGCCGTAAAGAGTAAGCAATGTGTTCAATTTTTAAATATCTTTTCAGTATGTGCTTTCACTCTTTTGATCTGTATTTTTGCTTTCAAAAATTCTTACTTGTTTGTTAAATATACCTAACTTAATTCAATTTTAAAATAATTAACTTTATATAATCTGGTTGACAATTAGGTAAGACTCATTAAATCTGTAAATCTTTCAAAGCTAACTAATAATCTGGGAAAGGTTTTGCACATCAAGATTCATTTAGTCACCAGAAAAGTTCAATTTAAAGAAGATTACTTTTCTGTAATATTCTTTAAAGACATTTAAAATTCAAAGTTGTGTGTTTGAATAAATTTTGTGCACAGATTAACTAGGTTAAAACTATATAATTATATGCATAAAAATGCAGCTTTAAAAAATTCTGGTTATAATATATATAAAAATTTCTGCAATTTTTACTATGTTACAAATTGGATTTTTTTTTATATCTATAACTAACTAACTCAGTGGCGCGACAGCCCATTAAGAGGGCCAAGGCCGACTGTGCCCATCTCAGTTTTCTTGACCTTGGGCTCTGGGGTGCAGGAGCATATGTTCCGGTCAGGTGGTCAGCCGGACGCGGAACCCCCAGTGTTAGTTCCCAAGCATGCTTGGTACTCATTTTATCGACCCACTGAAAGGATGAAAGGCTGAGTCGACCTTGCCCGGCCCAAGGATCGAACCAAGGACCTGTGGCACGACAGCGCGAAGCGCTACCGCTCAGCCACCGGGCGTCTTTTTATATCTATGTTTAATGTATATTTATTATGATGAATTTCTTCCGATAAATGTATTGAATATTTCTGATACATTATTTTAATTTTTTAGATTTATCATGGCAGAACTGCTTCAGACTGAAAGAACTTATGTAAAAGACTTGGAGACATGCATTAAAACTTATATGGCAGAAATGGAGAAAACTGATGATAACATTCCATCAGGATTGCAAAGAAAAAGTCACACTTTATTCGGAAATATGATTGAAATCTTTCAATTCCATGATCAGTAAGTTTGAATAACATAATTTATTGTATATTTGAAAATCATAATATTGATAAATACTATAAATATTTTTACTCTAGAATACTCTATGCTGTATTTTTATAGACTGTAATAATTATATATACTTCATATTTCTTTTAATTCCCTATCAGAATATTTCTTAAAGAGTTAGAAAAATATGAGACTATGCCTGAAGATGTTGGTCATTGTTTTGTGACTTGGGTATGAATTTTTTCATCTTTCATATGATTTTTTTTAAATGTTTTAATTTGCACTTTTTTATTTATGCTCCTTCTTTTTTTCTTTAACAAAATAGGCACAAAAGTTTGAAGTTTACGTAAAGTATTGCAAGAATAAACCAGAATCGAATTCTTTACTAGTGCATCATGCTGGTAACTATTTTGAGGTAATTATACATGTATACTTTCAGTTAAAAAAAAAAAAAATTCTCTTCAAGCTTGTGATATTTTTAGCTGTTTACAATGTTGTTATGTTTTCTGTTAATCTTTGATAAGTTTACATTAAAACTGTAAAAATAATTATACTCTTAACTTATTTAACTGTTCAACCTAATCTAAGCGTTGGATGGTACATGCTTGCTCAGAAAGTTGTTTATTCATAGTGTTCTTAAAGATGTAAACAAGGCTTGCATAATTTTTTTAATGAATTTATCAAGTGGTGCTGTATTTCATGAACTATTTTGTAAAATAGTGTAAATAGCTAATTTTTCTTGTTGTTGATGAAATTTAGTATTTACCTGTTGATTCAATCAATACCAACTAAATATTCTATTTTGTGGTAGCAGTATCAATCTGCTATTTGTGACATAAACAATTAATTAGTCTACCAGCAGAAATCCAAATTAGTCTTATTCAAGTTTGTAAGATAATTCTGAGAAGCTACATATTTTGTCTTCAATATAATGATATTATAATGGTATGCTTTTTCTTCCTTTTTTATTATTTGTAGTTTAAATCTTTTTTAATATACATATTATGTAGTGAGCTTAGCTTTATTATCCTTATTATTTATCATAGATTTATTATGTTTAATTATTGTACAATATGTTTGAAAAATTTTAGCGTTTATAATATTTTTCTAACAGGATGTTCAACGAAAACACAACATACCTCATCCTATTGCAGCTTACCTCATTAAACCTGTGCAACGAATAACTAAATATCAGCTACTATTAAAGGATCTTTTGTCATGCTGTGAAGAGGATCAAGGAGAAATTAAAGTAAGGAATATGATCTTTATTAACTATTTTTTATATTACAAAACGTAACTTGTTTTCAATGCATATAAAATCTTCATGAAATAGTTCCAATAAGAAAATTAAAAAAGAATTATTACCTATTTTATGTGCAAACTGCAGTGTAAGATTCTGTCTTTTAGTTTTAAGATTTAATGAATTTTTGATCTGTGGAAATCGGTTGTGTGAATATTTTTCTTTTATAACTTTTTTTTTTGTTCATGATTTCATTATGCATTTTCAAAACTTGTCTTTTAAGAAAAAAAAAAAGGAAAGAAAATTTGACATACCATATCTTTTTCATATTTAAACCTTTGTTTAGCTGATGAGCACCACATTGCAACATTGAATCAAGCTAAATTAGGTTCTTTTGTCTATGAGCAATTAGCAGATGAAATCAAGAAAAAAAATCACATTTGATATAATTTTTGTCTTGAAAAGTAGTTTTTTTTATTGTTACAAGTTTTTCTCTCTTATGTCATTTGTCATTAACAGGGTAAGTATGTTGTTAACCTCAATGTTCTTTTAAAAATATGCCGCAAAAAAAAGTGATTAACTACTGTCAAAACTGACCTTAAAATAAAAAAGAATGTTTTTTTAATTTTCAAAGCCATGTTCTATCTTAACTTTTTTTTATAAAAAAAAATAGATTGTAATTTATTGTAAACTTAAATAAAAAAAAAGTTGTAATTAAAATATATAATTAATTAATAAAATTCAATAAAAATTAATTAATCTTAAGTTGATTAATAATCTAACATCAGAAGTATTATCCAGCATTTACTGATATTTCTTCAACAAGAAAAAAAAATCGTCTATAATGTAAATTCTTATATCTTGAAAAATTCTGATCAACATTTAAGATTCAATGTATAATAATGTATAAGGAAAAAATTAATTCACCAGCTCTTAAAATGAAAAAAGAAAACAAACTGAAAATTCATAAAAATTGAAGGAAAAAAAAACTAAAAAATATGACCAAAAAATCATGAATATTCCCTTTAAACAAATATTCTACCAAAAATAAAAAAAAAAATATTTATGATCAATATTGTCATTAACATACATGGAAAAAGTTTATTTGTGTTTTTAGTTAAAGTTTACTTTTGAAAAAAAAGCAAAAAAAGTTTATTTTAAATTTTATTTATTTATTTTTTCAAAATAGCTGTTAATGGAGGTTTGACCCAAAAGAAGACTAATAAGAAACCTAAATAAAAGTAATTGAATCATTTTCAGATAATCCAATTTAGTGGCATAAACTGAATTAATTTAGTGATTTCAGTTCTTATTTATTATTTTTTAATTAGTAAATAATTATTTAATATTTTTTCGGACCAAATTCCTTGTAACTTTTATTTAGACATTAGTAAACAATATAATTCATATGCTAGATAAGTTTTAATATACAATAATTGAGCACATTTTGTCTCCCATAAATAATCAATAAAAAGAGCAGTTAATAATTTAAATAAAAATAATAATGTAAACAGATGAGTGATTCAGATATAAGTTATATAATAATTTCAACTTAAAAATTTCATTATGTTTAAAAAAATATATATTAGTCAAAAGTTAGTCAGACCTCTGATATTTCTCCACTTGCATATCAATTAAATTTTAGTGTTTAAAAGTTTTTCCTGTGCATGAATATTAGCTATAGACAGAAAAAAATTCTGATGGATTTAAAATAATTTTTTTAATGATGATTTTCTTATTTAATCATTTCCCTGGCATGTGTAAATTTTTGTTGTTGTCTGAAATCACTTATTTTATTAATTTAGGATGGTTTAGATGTGATGCTAAGTGTTCCAAAGAAGGCTAATGACGCTATGCATCTCAGCATGCTTGAAGGATGTGATGTAAGAATCTTGTCTATATTTTATGTCTTAAAGTTATTAACTATGTAAAGTAATGCTTAATAGTGCTTTTTTTTAATGATGATGCTTAAAAAAGTTTTTTTTCATATAAATTGGTAATTTTTAGTTTTTTTTAGTCTACATTCAAATATTTATTTTTTATTATTCATTTTTAAATTGGTAAAAAGTTTTTGACCATTTCGAAACTGATTGAGTGTTAATAATATTTTTAAACAACTTTGTATAGGAAAATATAATGCTTAATTTGTATGTAATTTATAGATTTTAGACTGTGTTTTTTTAAAGTATTTATAATTTTTATCAATATTGCATAATGATTTATTAAGCTTTTTATTTATTTGTCTCATATTTTTTCATTACCTTAAAGCAAGCATTATTATCCATTTGTTTTATAAAAAAAAGAAATAGTGTTTTTTTAATTTGTTTTAAATTCTGGACAATTAATTGTTTTTAAAAGAAGGGTTTAATATAAGTAAAAAACCAAAGAAAAGAAGAAAAACATCAAGAAATAAATGATACTGTTAAAGCCGGTATATGTTGTACTAGTAGTGCCACCTACGTTTATTAGAACAAAAATTCTTTTCATTTCTTTAATGGTCATCATTTTAAAAGAAAAAACTTTCAATCAGCATTATTTTCAAGAGTTCTGAGTGTCGAACCATGCAAAACCGCAAACGCAAATCAAACATTAAAAATTTATAGATACAGAATTATCTATTATCTTTATTATCTATTTTCAGTTAATAAAAGAAGTAGTAGAATTTCAGAGGTTGAACAGCTGTGTAAATTGCACCAAACTGCTCCACAACAAATTTCTCCTAAAAGCTGTTTTTTCTCTATAAAGTATGCCAAGCTGCTCCAACACTCTAATAATTTTATTGAGCAAAAAGCTGAACTTCAGCTCAGTTTGGTGTCGAATTTGGTCCTCGAAGTTAGTTTTATTGTTCCGAAATATAAAACAATTTTCCTTTTCTCCTAAACGTTGATTAGCATGCTTTTCTCGCAAAGAAGTTAGGTGGGTCTCCCCCCTCCCCATTGAATAGAGTGTGTCAAAAAGTAATTATTAAAATATGAAATTCGCTTGTTATAAATGTTTTTTTTTTGTTCTGTTGTATTCTCTGTACATTTTTCTGCTTAACTTCATAATTTCAAGTTTTTATTAAGTATTATAAATAAGTTAAATTGTTTGTGTTGTATATAGATTATGCACACAAAGCAAAATGTAACGTAAAGTAAGGAAAAAATTTGCAAAAACAAAAAATTAAAAAAAAGTTTTAAAATTGCAATAACTTTCAAACAAAATAGAATTTTATTTTATATCCGTCGTTGAACAGCCGATCCAATTTTGGGTTTATGACTACTAATGCTCAGCTCCGCAGCCTTGTAATTTTGAACCAATTCAGAAGACAAGGAAATCTTGTATCAGTACCTTCCCAGAGGTATTGATTTGTTATGGGAACATGGAGGACTTAACGACTCGACAGATTTAATGTGCATCAGTCACAATTTACTACACAGAAAGTCTTCGGCCAGTCTGGGAATCGAACTTACGAACTCTTGGACATGGGCCCAGTGCCCTACCAACCAGGCTATTCCGGCCCCAAATTAGAATTTTGAAAAAATCTCCATTTTAAGATCATTTACAAATATGAACCTTTCAGCATACCAACTTTCAATTCTGTAGTTACTTATGGAGATTGGCCTATTTTGTATTTTTTTCTACAAGTTCAACAATTATTAGTTCTCTAACTAATTATCGTATGTTAAAATATACTAATATATAAATTCAATTGTATTCCCTGGACAATTTTCAACACTCCTGAATAATTTAAATTTTATAAGTCTTATTATTTTTAAGCTACTGTGGGAACGAGGAATAGCTTTCCTACATTTTTACGGAACCAAAGACAACATCAAAACAATCAGAAGATAAAAATAAAAAATTTTATTTTCCGGGAAAATAATAAGAGTCACAAAAGCTGCGTGACTAACTTAAAAATAAATTAAAATTCTAAATAGTGAATAACAGAGTAGTAGTAGTTTTGTGGTTTTACAGATATATATATACTGGAGAAAATGTGCGCTGAATAATTATGACATCAGTATCCTGCAGTCAGTTGCAGTTAATTTCTGGCAGCAGAAAGAATATCAGAATGAGAGGTCGCAGGTTCGGTATTCCGATCCGCCGGTTTGATCTAGCAAACTCTTTAAAGCAAAATGTAACATTTAGTTGAACACCCAAAACAGCAGTGGCCCTTATGATTTTTTAATGTAGAAAGATTCTTTGTTGTGTTTCTATTACATTATTTTTTTTTAGCAATGCATTTTGTATCAGCTCTGTAAAACCTGTTATAAAATGTAAATTTATATTCTCAAAAATGTAATTTGACGCGCAATATGCGACTCGGAATAAAAAAATTATTTGCTCCAATAACCAAGTTTACTTACTCCAAAACACATTTTTTTTCTTCTCCTCTGTGTTACCAAAATGTATTTCTTCCTTCCAGAGAAGTACTTCTGTATTCTGAAAACAGAAAAATAAAATTAGAAACTGATAAAAATAAATATCTAAGGGACATGTTTAAAGTTTTATAATTTTAAATATCAAAATTATTTTTTTCTTAAAGATTATATAAGGCAAGCTAAATTAAGGAGTAAAGCCTATTAAAATTTAGATGTACACTTAAACTAACTTGTACTTTACTAACTTGTAAAATTTAGATATACACTTAAAATGCCAAATAAAAGAATAGCATTTGTTGCGCAGAGCTTGCTCCAGAACAGTAAAAGTGTTAGACTCAGACTTTTTTTTTAATGCATGCTTTTGGATAAATAAGAATGCAATTAATTGGATTAAAATGAATAAATTTAAGGTGAAGCAAATCGTAAATGAATTCACTATCTTAATGTTTGATTGGTTGTTTTCCAAATAAAGTTTCAAGAATGTTTTTTTTTTAAAAATTCTTTTTTATTATTATTGAGGAAAAAGAAATATTAAAGGCATACATATATGGTATAAAAATTTTTTTGCATATAATTTAATTACTTTATTAAATTGCTTAGCTTTAATTAAATCTACTTATATTACTTTCGTATAGAATTTTTTAATGTAAATAGCTCTTATCTTATGTATCTTATTATGTAAGTACTGAATGTAAATAGCTCTTTCATTGTGCAACAAAACTCCAGATTCTAATTTTTTTAAGATTAAAACAAAAACATTAAAAAAAGAGATAGTTTTGCTTTATGAAAATTATTCAGTGTATGTTGGAATAATTATTTTTGGCATCAAAACTAAGGCTTAACTTTCTTGTATTAAAAAAATTCCTGAATGTATATGTAATCGGAAAGCTTATAAATATTGCAAAGCATTACAAATTCTCTTATAAATATTTTGTTTTATCTTAGGTTTCACTTGATCAGCTTGGAGAAGTAATATTGCAAGATTCATTTCAAGTATTTGAACCTAAATCTTTGATTCGAAAAGGAAGAGAAAGACACATTTTTCTCTTTGAGCTGTATCTTCTGTTTAGTAAAGAGGTCAAAGATTCTAATGGCAAAGCTAAATATATTTATAAAAACAAATTACTTGTAAGTTCTATTTTCTGTTTATGAGATTACAAAAAAGTTTGGTGCGATTAAAGCTTTACACTTTTTTAATCTTTATATTATAGGAAATTGTTATAAAGTATTTCCAAACAAATATATTTATGTAATGCATTAGCATAAAAATTGAAATTTATGATTTAAATTATGAATTAACTTAATAAATAAAATTTATCTTTAAAATTCTCGAGTAATATTCAATACCTCAGTTTTTTTATTGATTTATTATACTAATTAATGATAGAAAAATATTTAGAATTTTTTTTTTATTACATGCACAAAAAGTTTCAAATAAAAAGATTTTTTAATAATCAATACCTATTTAACCCTTTAAACATCACCTATTCATTAACAGCTTAAATGCTTTGATATTAAAAAAATTGCTTTTTTTTTTAGTTTTCATATTTATTTTTATTTAATTATTTTATTATTATTATTATTATTATAGACATCTGAAGTAGGCATTACTGAACATGTAGAAGGTGATGAATGTAAATTTGCAGTATGGACAGGTAGAGCTCCTCTTGCAGAGAATAAAATAGTTTTAAAAGTAAGTCTCAGTTATTATTCAAGGTTGTAATTTTAAATATTTATTATATTTCTTCCTTCTTCACTTGATTTTGAAACTGTGTGTATGTTATTTAAAGGTGTTTTATTTGTTCGGTATATGTGATGTTCATACATTTCAGGCATCTTCTTTAGAAACTAAGCAATCTTGGGTTAAGAAATTGAGAGAAGTAATTCAGGAAACTTACTTTAGCAGTGCACTGTCTACCCTCAATTTATCTAAATGCCATACCAAAATTTCAAAATCTATCAGTAATAGATCAAGCAGGTATGTGCTTATTGTTTTTAATTTATTAATTTTTATCCTACATCAGGCAATAGCAATATCGGCTTTAAGATTTCTAACATCCCAATAAAAAATTAGCCTTAGCATAAAAGAAATGTACCTATTGTGAGAAATCTGGAAAACTCAATTATATTTTTTATTAGAGCTGTCAAGAAACACTTAAGTCTTACAAAATAAATAATAAAAAAATTAAACCTAATACAAACATAGTCTTCATTGCATACATTACGCATATAAATCGGCATTAGCTATAGATTATTTTTCCATTGTAATTTAAAAGTGTGTGAAATTTTAAATGGAACTTTTACAGGCTATTGGAGGCTATAAGTAAGTCAATTGATAAAAATTATTAATTCTTCATCATTATTCTCTTTTAATTTAAATGTTCATAAAATTTTAATGAAAAATAATCAATGGAATTTTTATTAGATATCTAAAGTCTTTTATGAATAAAAATGAAAAAATAAGTTAAAAATAAAATTAGTTTAAGCTTATCAATTGTTTAAATTATTTATACTTGATGTTGCAAATTATAATTTCCTAAATATAATTTTTTAATAGGGACTTAGAAGACTCTTCCATGGATGAAGGTAGTATAGAAAACCAAGAAAGAGTTTCTCTTGCTTCATTTGGATCAGGGAATACAACAGATAGTGAAAAGGTACGATATAACTTGACATTGATGATTTTTTTTAAGTAATTGTTCTTGAATTAGTTGCATATTTATAACGTTGAAAATTTATATTAAAGATTTTCTCTTTATTTATATTTTTTTACTTGAAAAGTTTTTAAAAGTTATAATCATGAAAAACTTTTATTTTGTATGAAAATATTGAGCTTTAATTGGTTACCTCAGTAGTAATCAACACATTTCACACATGCCACAAATGGTACAGAAACCCATTCCTTATTGCAAAAAATATTTTTTAGAATTTTTTTCTTCCACTTTTTTGTAGCTTGCTTCCCTTTTCTGCTCAGTTGTTGGTATTACTTTCTTATTGCAAATAAATTTTGTTAAAAATAAATAAAGTTCATCTGGTGAACATCCTGAAATCTTTAGTTGCTTTCAACTTTAACCTAGAATGCTAAAAGTTAATGAAAATTAAAACAAAGTGTCATCCATATAAATTCTGTTATTATTTTGCACTTGTAAAATTATTATTCTAATTTCAAAAATGGCTTTAAAATTAATTTTCTATCATTATTAATAAATTTATTCTCTCATTGTGAATTAGTTCCAAAATTATTTCTTTATATATTTAAATTTTAGTTTGATTCAACTGTGAATATATTAATAATATGTGAATTTGTTTTCTTTAAATATAAAATAATAATACTTACTTACTATAAGTTTCTGACTTTCATATTATTATTTTTGAAATTTTGGCATTGTAAAGCTTTATTCATTTTTGCTGTGAATTTCATTTTATTTTAAGTAGTACTGAAGGTAAGTTCAGATTAAAGTGCAGTGATAAATTTAAGAATTTTTACCCTAAAAGAGGCTTCTAAGGTCGCCACTGTTTGCTGTCCCTAGGCTATCTATTTAAATGAGTATCAAAATTATAAAGTGAAATGAAAGTTTTGGGAGAACATAAACTCCATAGAATATATTTCTATGTGTCAATCTCTCTATGCTTTTGTCAATTTCATTCTTTCAGATTGTTTCATTTTATTAAACGTGTGTATATATTAAACCAAGCTTATTCTTTCATATTAATTTTTAATAACTGGTTAATATTAATAATTTATGTGAACAAAATTTTATTGTTTTTATTTATGAAATTTTAGTGCAGATCTAGTTTTAACCATGTTTTATTGTTTCACTGTATCAACTAATGAATTAATTTTTTGTTGTTATAGGGAGGGGAACTTGCTAATATTGTAGAAGATCATAAAGCTATACCTGGCTCTTTAGAATTAACTGTTCATGCTGGTCAACAAGTAGAAGTATTAGAATCCTGTAATGATTGGTATCTAGTCAGACATGTATCAAAAGACGAAGCAAATGCAACAAATCAAGAAGGATTAATACCCCCATCTTGTATAAAGACACATTCAAAAATTCCTGTACATAAAACAAATGAAAATGAAGGTAAATGATACTTTTTTACTTTATTACTAATTTTTTACCAACCAATTACATTAAAATCTATATAAAAATGTAAGGTAAATATATATATACATTATATTTACCTAAGATTAATTTAGAAGTTAACAATTTCTTCATTCTATCTTAAAAATTTTATCTTTATTTTTGTATCATTATCTTTTAAAACATTTTGATCCAATTCAGATAAAAGATAGATTCACCTGTGCAATCAATTATATTTTAATTCCTTATTGAATTTAGTAGTCAAAATTTTTTTATTGTCTATTGATGTTTGATATTAAAGTTGTTATTTGATATTAATTTAAAAATGTAAGTAAGAGTGATATACAACGAAGAGCCATTACATTATGACCCACCTTCATCTATAACAATGGGCTCGCCCAGGTTTTCATGGTTTCTCGCCCAGGAACAATGTTTTCATGGAGCACATTAGGACCCATAATCCTCATAGAACAATCCCTGACGTCTGTAAGCTACTTGAACATAGTTGCAGACCAGGTTCACCCATTCATGGCAACAGTTTTTCTTGCGGGGGATGGTGTTTACCAACAGGATAATGCACCATGTCATGAGGGTTGAATCGTCATGGATTGGTTCGAGGAACATTCCAGTGACTATCAAGTCATGTCTTGGCCCCCAAATTCACCTGACCTTAATCCAATAGAGCATTTGTGGTCCTGCTTGGAAAACCAAATTCGTGTTGCCACGCCACCCCCTCGCAATGTGAGGGAATTGCAGGACCAGTTGGTGAGCGCTTGGTACCAGATACCTCAGACTACCTATCAGCACCTTGTGGAATCAATACCACGGCGGGTGCTAGCAGTTTTGAGGGCTAAAGGTGGTCCTACATGTTATTAGCAAGGTGGTCATAATGAAATGGCTCTCTGGTGTAAATGTGAGTAAGAGTGTACAGAATAAACTTGTATACTAAATGATGCAAATTATATATCAATAGCTTTAAAGTAAGTGATTAACTACATAATCAGTGATGAAAATTGTTTATTCTTTTTTTTCAGTAGATCAATTTTTATAGTAATATTAAATTAATAGGTAAAAAAAGTCTAGTAAAATTCCTAAAAAATATTTGTAATTGTTAATTCTGCCATTCTTTCGAAAAATAAACATTAAAAATTGAGATTTTTATATATTTGACATTTTTGTATCATAAGCTATTTATTGCAAAAAAATTTTTTTTTCAAAAATAAATTTTGTTTTATCAGTTTTTTGAAATTCTATTTTATCATTCATGGTACAAGCACAGAAAAGAAAATAGTTCTCAAGTCACTTATCTCGAAATCTATCAACAGCACTTGGGTTGTTTTTCCAGTTGCATGGCAGTATTATATTAAAACATTTCTGAGCATCAAAATCATCGTTATGTAACCTAATGAAAAATGCAGTTGCAGCAATTATTATTAACTAATTAATAATGTTATTAATATATTTATTTTTATAGGTATAAAAGGCTACATTTTTTAATTTCTTGTTCTTTTTTTATTAAATTATCCTGCATAATTTTGAATTCTATCCAAAGTTTAATATTTCTCTTTTATGTGTGTTACAGATGCAAATATAAATACTTCTGATTTAAGTCCTAGTAGCACATACCCATTAACAAATCTCTCATCTATACCAGCTACAAAACGTCGAGGAGCTTTTAGGTATTTTATCATTCAAACTGGTTTCTTCTAAGTTTATATTTTTCTTAACTAATATATTTCATCTAAAAAGATTTTAAATTTATAAAATTATTATTGAGTTAAAGTTATTTATAATAATTCAATTATTTCACATTTTAGAAAATGGTTATCTAATCCAGTTCGCAAACTTAGTCACAGTAGAGTAGAAAGATCTGCTAGTGAAGCATCTAAGTCAGTTTCCAATAAGAAAGCATCTCAACAGCCTAAAGTAAATCCGTTATTTAAAAGCTTTTTTTTTCAATAATAATATTTTTTATTTATTGGTTGGTTGATATTTAAAAATATGCATTTATTTTAGATCACCAGCAAAAGAGAAGCATCTGAAAAGTCCTTGCACTCTGCACAAAATGGAATATTACAGGTTCACATTGGTTTAACACTTATTCAAACTGTGATATTACTGTTAAATTCTCATACCATTTTAAACTAGTGTTCATTTAGGTTATAATTGTCACATAAATGTAATATAATAAAATTTGAAGCTGTTTGCCTTTTTTTTGTGAGGATTTCAAGTAAACTAAATATGATATATTTTAGGCCTTTATTTCTTCATTTAATACGAAGCTAGCAGGAATTTCAGTTTTATTAAATAATTTGTGAATTAGTCATTGTCTTTAGGAAGTTTGACATTTAAGTAGAAAGCTAAAACATTTTCTGTGTTTTGTAAATAGAAATATAATTTCATGCCTTACTTACTATGGTGCATCAAATGTGCCAAGACTCATCCTCTAAGACATTTAATTGTTCAGTGGAAAAATATCTCAACAGCAGATTTACACAATCAAATTTGTGACTGAATTTTAAATCGATTATAAAGATTGTCACTCCACAGGATAAGTAGAAAGAACCTAGAAAAACATACAATTTAAAAATCATCTAAAATTTTCAGGAAAAATGCATTAAATTGTGAGTTTCCTTTTCAAACTGGGAAAGTACAGGGATTTTTATTTTTGTCTTTTAAAAAATGGTGTTCACTCAAAGCATAATTTATGGGATATTTAAGGATGATATTTCAGCTATACTAAACTATTTCAATTACTATTGCATTATTAAAATATGTTCAGCTGTTCCTTTTTTTTTCTCTATGTTTTACCTGCAATTAAAACTAATATATATAGATAGCCAATATAGCTGACACAAGGGCACTGTAAATGTGTGTTTCCTCTTAATATAGTGTGTATAATATGTACAGAGAAAATACAGGGAAGTTTTTTCTAGAGTATCAAATTAATTACATATTTGTTTTTCCTTGATGTTAGTCCTAATTTAAAATTTTGATAACTCTAATATAACTCTTTTCTATCTTTGAAATTCTTTATTTTTTCTATCAATAAGTATTAAAAATTTTAATGTACATATTAATCGATGGATAGGTAGAGAATTCATATTTTAGAGACCTGCTTGTAGTAAAAAGAGACCCAGAAATTCGTAAGTCCTGTGTCCTAAAGAAATAATGATTCTACATTTTATGTTTATTTTGGTGATTTTTTTGCCCCATTTTGCAGCATTATTAAGTAATTACATAAGAATCGCAGTTCCGACATTAATTTTTATTGTAATTGTTCTTGAAGTCTTAACTTGAAACATGTTTCAAACTTCAAAAAAATATAGAAAATCTTTCTTCTTTTTTTTTAAAATTATTTTTTTTATCTTTATCAAAAACAATGTATATAAATATCTGTTTGCTTCCTCTGAAAATTTTTACAAACATTAATAAAAAAATTATAATAATAAAGTAGATAAAGACTTATTTTTAATCAGTATTATGCAAAACTTTTTAATTGCTATGCATTCTATTAATCATTGTATGTTCAGTTTTCTCACATAAAAAAAATTTATTAGGATAAATTAAACTGTAAATGTTTGACTTTTAAAGATATTTTAGTTTTCTGAATTGTATTTTTAGATTATTATTTTAAAAATTGAAAACATTACTTTTAAGTAATTTTCTAATAAAATATCATTTTTATTAGTTTTAATCTAACAAAATAAAGTGGTGTGATTTATATACCTTTTTTATGTGTAGTGCAATAAACTTCTAGCGTTGCCTACTATCTTAAATTCTATAATCATTTAGATGGATTCAAGCAAAAAGAGTATATCAGTAGATGATGATGAAGTATTAGATGTAGAACTACCACCCCCAATGAAAATCCAGGAACATAGTTTTACACCAGTACATCAAACTCTACCTGGGGGAACCAGTGAAAAGGTATTTTTTCTACTTTCTTTAATAGTTGCTTTCTGTTTGAATTGCTATGTTTATAAACACTGCTATGTTTTAATATTCCAACATTGCTAAATTATTAAATAACCATGTTTAATTTTAACTTCAGTACATTTTTTGAGTAAATTTCTTATACATTTACTCATTAATTACTGAAATATGTTAAAAAGGGTTATGTAAGAAATTTATCATACTTTTTAAATAATTTTATTCGATAAGAACTTTTAAAAAGAGTCCTTTATTTTTTAAAAGAACATTTTTTCTATTTTTCTATTCCTTTAATTTTAGCTGTTTTTTTTATAAGGGCAAAATTGTATGAGCATTTTCTTCAACCATACCATTTTTAAAATCTTAAAAACAGGATTGGCAATATTTATATCACTTCATTTTTCTAAAATCATATGTTTTTTTTTTCAATTAAAGTAAAACATTGATTTAAATCAAAATTTTATAATGGTATAATTTATGTTTACATTCTTAATATTAAGATTCCATACCCACCCATTATTATTGAGATTTTATACCATTTTTAAAATCTTGAAAAACAGGTTTGCCAAGATTTAAGTCACTTTACTTAAATCATGACTAAAATCACTTTATTTTATTAAATCACTGTTTTTTTCCCCTTTTTTTAAATTTAAAATAAAACATTGATTTAGGTCTAAGTTTTTTATATGGTATAATTTATGTTTACATTTTTATTGTTGAGGTTCTGATTTCATTGATATTTAAAGTTTTTTTCAGTGAAATAATGAGTTGTGGTAATGTATTTAAATTATTGTTTGATGGTTAAAATTGACTAAAAAAAAAAAGACTAAATGTGCAAAAAATTGATGTGAAAAAATTTTGAAATAATTGTTTTTTAATAAACATTTTTCAACTTTACCCACTTAAATACAAGTACTTTACAAACTTATGAAATATGTAGTTTGATTTTATGTAATAAAGAAGGACTTGTTTTGTCAAAGTAATTTCAAAAAATTGTTTTTTCTTCTTTTGTTTCCTGATCTAAATAATTGTTTCTTCATTTGATATCTAACTGACAAATTTGGCTTTGTCTTTAATTTATGCGGGTGTTGAGATTTAATTTTAAAAAAAACTATGATCTCATTTATTCAGTGATTAGTTTATGATAATTATCTAATTATTTTAACCATCTGAAGTTAGAAATATTAATGACCTTAGTTATAATATAGTTTTTAACCTTTTCACACTGACTGTCAAGTTTTTATGTGCCAGCATAAAATGTTGACATTGCCACAGCGATTTCTCGTTCATTCCTGGCCATCACATATTTGTGACAGCATTCTGGAACGTTTTAAAAACTAAAATTTTTGTCATACATGATACATGTAGATTTTGAGATGCATGTAGATTTGACCATCTACTCAAAATGAGAGACGTATGACTCACATGCATATGGTTTTTAATCATATATACACGAGAGAAATTTAATGCTTACAAATAGCATGCTTTAAAAGGGATCTTTAAAATGAGCTATTAGTATTTATTTATGATAAATTGAAGAGATTTATTTTCTCTAGAGTGCTATGTATTTGACTAATTATTATGGTAGTCCAGTTTTCAATTGATTGTTAGATTTTATTGTCACCTTTTCAGTTTTTACAGCTACAATATCAAAGCCTTGAAAATGTTTATCTAAACTCGAAATAGGAGAAATTGTGTGAAAATTTTTTAAACAAGAAAAATATGAGTAAATAAGTATGTAAATAAAAAATAGAGTATAAGTCATTTATCTACTTTACAGTACATTATTAAAGAACACATTCATGTTTTGGTGATTTCATATATTTAGGCTTAGCAACAAAATATCCTTTGGCCCTGGACAGGCCCTCACGAACAAGACTCCCGGCTTCAGCTATAAATGCATGCTTGCAACTCCCATTGTAAAAGGATTAAATAATATTAAGTGCTTTTAATATATATTATCAGAGCTTTGATCGATAAATGTAAAAATAGAGAATTTAAAAAAAATCTGGTTTATAAAGGAAAAAGTCTGATTTAAATAAAAAAGAAATCTGATTTTCTTTACAGTTAAAAAAAAAGATTTTTGCCAATGTTACTTAAAAGCAATGTCAATAATACTCAAGAAGCAAACACATGTTACAACAGTTTGCATCGGCTTGAACCCAAACCATTGTGTAAGTGTTCAATGGCACAGATTTTAAACATTCCAATTAATGAGACTATGCTGAACAATATGCTAGTAAGTAAGTTGTGTGAAAATGAGCCTTAACGCTCCACCATCCTGACTGATTCAAAGGCACCAATGGTCACTAACCACCATTTATTTTTAAAATAGTTTCCTCAAACTTCTTGTATTTGTGCTTGAAAACTCCCAGGAAAGGACATTATCTGGAAAAGTTGACAGTACAAAGAAGCTTGCATCTAGACTTTAAAGGACATTTCAGAAAATGCCTACAATTGTACTTGGGAAATTCTCAAATTTTCCTGGGAGCAATGTATTGATGCAGCAGCCTATTTTGAAACTTTTTAATGTCTTATATTTGTCAGATCAATAAATGTTTTTAATAGATCCATTGACAAGACAAATCTTGAATTATATATTTTTTCAAAACAAGATTAATTGTTTAGTTATCTTTCCCTGATATTTTTTGTAATCTATAGTTTCATCTTTATAAATGTACACCTTTAAATTATAATGAAAAAAAAATATTATTTACGGTTAACGAAATTTGAAAAAGTTAGATTTAAATGACTGTGCTTATAACATGTAACATTTTTATCTAGCCAATAACCTTACCTTCTTCGGATGGCAGTAGTACTACTGATTTGGCTTCTGAAATAGAGCAAATAGTAAAGGAACGGATGGTGTGTGATTGTTATAACTATAACACTTGTTTGCATGATGCATGTGGAAAATGTTTGTTTCCAACTTTAATAAAACACTTATTTGTTTTCATGTTAATGTCCCATGCAGAACTTTGCATGTAAACTTTGTTTTGTTGTATATGAATATAGTGACACTGATTTGTGTATATTTGCGTTTATTATTATTATTTTTTTAAACTATAATTCTAGTTTCACTCTTTTACAAATGCATGAAAATTTAAAATCTTTTTTAATTGCTCTTAATCAAAATGAAATTGAAAGCTATTGAGAATAAACCGACTTTTTCATAGGATGAACAAAATAAAAAGCACTCCATGAGTACAAAGGAGAAGGAAAAAGTTTTGCAAAACAGGAAGTAAGTAATTTATTGCTTAATGTTTGTTTAAATATTAAATAATATATTTCGATTAAATTACTTTTAATTCAGTGCATAGTTTTTCTCTCACTTAATAAAGTTCTCAGTGATGATTTTTGATATTAGGAAACTGAGATAATTTTGAGATTTGATTCTGTTTCTATTTAAAATACAGATTTTTTTACGTAATATGTTTCTTATTGGAGGTATGCCTTTCAGATTTGAACCTGGTTCACCTCAATAATATGGTCCACTGATATTTAAGTTAGAAATGAATAATCTCAAGAAATTGAAATGAAAAAAATTCCTTGACCAGTTTGGGCCTAATGTATTGGTAGTGGTGATTATGAATGGATTGTATATAATCTGGTTTAACTTTCTTCATAGTCCAACATGGTTATGGGATAAAATTTCTCACCGTGTATCAAAAAGTGTAAAGAGATTTAGGTATATCACAGGGCACGTTAATTATGCTATAGCTATCGGATGATGATGTGCTGAACCTAGATATTTAAAACTTTTTTTCATTTAATATACTGCCATTTTATTGAAATACTTTGAAAACACTCTAGGTTAAGTAAAAACTAAGTCATTAAATGCTTTTGAAAATTGAAGTAAATTGAAAGAAGAATGAATTAATTATAAAGTTCATTATTAGCAGATGTCCAAACTTAGTAAACTTTTACATTAATTACCTTACATCTCAACAGCCATTCTGAATTTCTTTTATAATTTTGTTAAAAGTTATGTTTAAAGAAAGGAAAGCTAAAAATAAACATATTTTTATTTATGTTGTGCAATGAATTTCCTTAGAACTATATCTTCTAAAATATTTGTTTGATAGAATAGTATAAAATTTTTTATTGGTTTTCATAAATGTTATCATACCTGGCCAGATACCCTAAACCGGCCGAGTAATAAATCAGAATTTTACGGCTTGCACGGAACCAGCTGGCGAACTAATTACAATTTATCTGCATACACTGAACTGGCCATGTAAATACTTTTCTCTCTATATCTGGATCAGGCAAAATTTGAGGGTAAATACAGTAGAAGATCTATTATGCAAATATTAATGTGTGTGTTATGTGTTACTGACTTAATATGGCAATATATATTTGAAACAGATCGATATTAATACTTTAAAATAATTTTTTTTAAGTGCAAATATTTTAAACATAAAAATATGCACTTATTTATAGTAAAATATGGAGACCATTAATTAACAACAAATTTATCAATTATGGATTACTTTAGAGATTGTAATCTCTTAGCAAGTAATTTTTCTTACAGCCTGTGAGCAATGAATAGTTCTTGCTCAGTTACGGAATATTTTTGACTGTTATCTATTGTATTGTTCACACCTGCAAAGGGTTTGTGAGGTTTATAGAGAATTGTAGTCTTAGAACTGTATTATATTTATCTTCTACTGTATTTTAAAAAGTATCGAATCTTGCGTGGTATAAAGAAATTTAATGTATTATCTATAATTCATCATTTCACTCTTGAATATTTAAATAATTTAGATTTGACAAAATATAATTTTTATTTTCAATAAAGAATAGTACGTTATTTTTTAATATGCATGAAATGTTATTCTTATTGTATTTTATCATCTGAATTTTACTCTATTTTAGATGTGTCATTCAGGAATTCATTGAGACAGAAAAACAATACTTAAATGATTTAGAATCAATTATTGAGGTATTTATATAGAAAACTGATCTTTCTTAAAATGATTTTCGTGAAAGGGGTAAATTTATTTATTCATAATTTTTATTTAGGGCTATCTGAAGTCCATGAGATTAAAAGAAATCCCTGTTCCTCAAGATTTGAATGGTGACAAAGGAAAATTGATATTTGGGAACATCGAATCAATATTTGAATGGCACAAAGAGTAAGAATTTTAAATTTATTTTTTCAAGGATTAGAAAATGTTAATTTACTTTGTTTAAATGCCATTTAACTCTTTAAAGACCAAGTGGCCTGAAGAAGTCCGGACTACTTAACGACCGTCTGGGGTCAGTGGGGAACTCTGAAGGGTGAATGGGTAGTAGTGATTGGGATGGGGTGAGTTGCTTGACAGTGATGCACAGGAACTCATTGACAGTCAAAAGGAAAGAGGTGTGCGAACTTCACGCTTTATTTAGAAACATTTCCCCCTGTGGTTTTAGAGAAACACAAAATCCTCTTAATTTGTAACAGATTTGTTGAGATGGACCTTTTCATTTATTTATTAAAAATTCGGGAATGGCGGGCTTTTGGGAATTTATTTTTGAAATCCCCGCGTCCACTAAAACAAATATCTTTTTAATAAAATTGCAATGTGTTAACTGTTGACTACCAAACGCAAATTTGTTATATAATTAAAAGTGCACCATCATAAATACCGAAATTACTGAAAAAAATTTGGATAAAGCCAACGTTGTATAATGCTTTCTGTTAATCACTGATATTTTAATGATAATGTTATCATTAGTTCATAGAAATTTTGATTCTTGAATAAAAAAAAAAGATTAATATTTCTATCATTTAATAAACTTTTAATAGGTTTTTCTTTTTAAATATTTTATTTATTTCCGTTTTGTTCTCTATTATGCTGTTTGGTGTTTCTCAGTAATCAATTTTATTACAGTGTGCTTTTTATTAGTGAATTTTAGAGAATAGATAAAATAATTTAAAATACATTATATTAATAATGTATCTTTTAAACTTGAACGAGGAAAGTTGTTTTAGACTTTGTTTTACTGCAGCGAAAAAAATTTTAAATCTTAAAATTCCTATAAAAATTTCCATTTTATGCTCAATTAAGGAAAACTGAATTCAATTCTATCTAAATTTATGATTAACGTAATATAATGCATACATTAAAATGCCTTTTTATATAATTTTAAATACTAT